ACTACTTTTTCTGGACGTGCGTCTAGATGCCAGCAAAAGCGGTATAACACGTGATTTAAATGACATGACACATACATTGATACATGTAAATGCAATTCTGAGACATGAGTGTGACTGGAGCTCATCAAAAACATGTACAAATGTGATACAGTAGCGAAAAAGTCCTAATTGCAACTGTGGTGAAATAAAAATGGGTCCTGGATCTATAGCATACAGCGGCAACATTAAAATCGCCTCAATGGTCCAATAAAGAAAAAAAAATAGCCGTATGCCCGACTGCGTTTCGAGGGTCCGCAAAAGCCTCCATTTACAAGCGAGCCAGTTCAGACGTTTTTTTTTTGCTTCGTTGCGGTTGCGTCATTCTGAACAAAGTTCCGAAATAAGTTCTCATTTAAACCATAAATACTCAAGCTTTGCAATGCTCGTCGCTACGTTCTATGCTAGAAATTATTTTCATCGATTCACAGGGTTTATCCCGACCGAGTTCTGAACCCAGTTATCAGACGGTGTTTAGGAATACGGCATGGATGCATGATCATGACTGTACGTGAATCGGTAATACCAAATGTTTGTCCATATCAGTAGCAAAGTCTCCGGTTATTTGGAAGGACAATTCTGACGACCAACACCATTGTCGGGAAATCTACACACACGTCACGCTAAACACAAAAAATAACAATAATTCTAGTGAAATTCGAGTAGACTAGACACGACAGTTTCACGTTAAGAGCATTTCGTACGTGGCACCGTATGCTAAAGCAAAAATGAACATGCATAAAGATAAACAATGTTCGTAAGTATGTATGTTGAAGAGGGTGAGTGTATTTGCGCACTTGTATTTAATCCAAACAACACTGCATTAAGGCAGTAGGCAGAGAACATTTTATGGAGCTACAGTTCCAACATTTGTATTTAGTTGTTTAATTTATTGTTGAACAGTTAACGAGTTAATTGTTTATGTATTAATTGCTCTCCTAGATTGTCGACAGTCGGTCGTACCTAGTATTAATCTGTCATTAACAATAAATATTGTGTATGAACGTAATAGGTGTGAATAAATTGCGAACGCCGGGGCAGGAAGTATGGAGTGACTAAAGTCCCTCGCGTGAATGTCTAGGATGCAAAATCACATTAGGCCAGAGGACTGTCGACAATTTTTGCTCTCCCAACTGGTCTTTTTTACCGGTTTAATACATATATTGAAGCCATTATTATTTGTTATCATTAGCTGCCTGTAATTCTTTTTATGTGGTTTCTCGTCACATAAAACAACTTGTTTATCCATTCAAATTTATAAATTTATAGAAGTACCGTAAAACGGTTGTAGATTACTTAATAAGTTACCAGTCCTATCAAAATAACACGGCATAATGTATGGGCAGAACAAGATTTTTATTTGAACGCGTCAATTCACAAAATGCGTCTCCTAAGGGATGTAATATGCAAATTGAATTTGCGAAAAAGTAACACGTAATAACATGTAATACACATTACGCATATGCGACATGTGTTCCATATATGCGAATTCCCAAGGCCGACTGAACTAGTTCTGTATTCTGGGTTAATTATTGTTTTTAGTTTATTACAATGTACTGTAGTGTGAGTGTTCCATTTTGTTCATTGATGGATTATGCCTTTTTGAAGCACCACGAATAACCAAACAGCAAAATGTTTTGCTGGATTTAGATATGCCTGGAACTAAACATTTTCGAGGTTTTCGAATCTGCGCACGAGTGTTGTCGAGGTTTTCGAATCTGCGCACGAGTGTTGTCGAGGTTTTCGAATCTGCGCACGAGTGTTGTCGAGGTTTTCGAATCTGCGCACGAGTGTTGTCGAGGTTTTCGAATCTGCGCACGAGTGTTGTCGAGGTTTTCGAATCTGCGCACGAGTGTTGTCGAGGTTTTAGAATCTGCGCACGAGTGTTGTCGAGGTTTTCGAATCTGCGCACGAGTGTTGTCGAGGTTTTCGAATCTGCGCACGAGTGTTGTCGAGGTTTTCGAATCTGCGCACGAGTGTTGTCGAGGTTTTAGAATCTGCGCACGAGTGTTGTCGAGGTTTTAGAATCTGCGCACGAGTGTTGAGGTTTTAGAATCTGCGCACGAGTGTTGTCGAGGTTTTCGAATCTGCGCACGAGTGTTGTCGAGGTTTTCGAATCTGCGCACGAGTGTTGTCGAGGTTTTACTATAAAACAATTCCTTTTCACTGGTATTTAATTTAACTATTTTAATGATTTTTGCGATTTCATTAAGACCTAAAATTCACGACCTCGCGAGAGAGAATGAGTTATTCTATATGTTCACGTGATCTTAATTTAGCAAAATTTACTTATTAACGAAAATAGCGAAATTAAAAATCAGCAAATAATTAGGCAATTTACAGAATCTTATAAATATGTGGTCCTATATGTACAAATGCAATTTGCATATTGTTCTTCCGATGAAAACAAGGTCGTATATAATTGGTTAGCAATATTTACAAAAGATAATCATCACAGCGCATGTGTGTTGTACGTGCGTGTTGCAAGTAGAAATATACATCATATAGAACACGTGACAGTGTGTACGTGCCGCTGTTAAATGTTACAGATGTCAGCTAGTCGCAAACGTTTGTGAGAAAAACTCCCAAACACTCAGTCTCCTAATGCGACATACAGAGGACATCTACGGGGCTTGAGGTGTATTTAGTCAGCGAAGATACATGAGGGGGGATATGTGACATGGTTCATTTAATCTTTATTGACTAAAACAACATTTGGCATTGGCTTGAATTCATGAAAATTCCTTTCAAGGATAGTATGTCATACGTATCTTCATGAAAGACAATACACATTTATTGTTATCGCCAAAAACATTAAATGAACCCATGTAAACTGCGCGTATTAATCCTACAATCAGTTTGAAAAAACATACGATTATAAGTTTTACACACACTATATGAAAATGTGTACCCTAACAGTTGCATGCACATAAAATAACCGATTAATACAAGCACGGAAAAACGTGCACGCACGTAGACTTTCAGACACATTTTCAGACGTACATACGAGTCAGAGTTCGAATAATGCACTATTGCGTAAGCGCATATATTCGATTTATTACGGGGCGAATTTCTCGTTGCATATCATGGGCAACTAATATGATACAACACTAAAATGAATGACTATTTTTGGAGATGTTTTATCATCATATTAGAATACATATCAACAGTACTATACGACTGTTTCATCGCTTGTTGTACACCTTCGTATTGTCTGGCCTCGTAATCCTATGATCATAGTGTTTCCTATCTCACCCGGCCGTATTTGACCATATTTACAAATATCTGTTGGTTAGATATACAGAATATATTTAAGACTGTCACAGTTGAATTCAGAAATTATAACAGTGATTAGACGTTCTATTTAGAAAGAATTGCGATAGAAGCAACTGTTTGTTAAAACGCAGATATCTTGTGGATATCGTCGTGTCAAACACAGAAATATCAATCCACACACTGTGACCCGGTGACCGATGTGAAAAACGTGCCCAGATACACGCACGTGTATTATGATAATTAACCTCCATACTATTTTAATATGATGGTTATCATCCATGCTATTAAACACATAAAGTCTTGGAGGGAGGTGTAAAATTTAATGACTATGTTTATTATGCCGGGTTGCGTTGGTCCGAGTCGATACATCCATGGTCGTACACTTCAACAACGTAACAAAGGCAGAATGATTATTCCGTTGCTATGACTTTATGACACAAGATTTGGCATGGACGCTCAAATCTCCCTGCTAGACACTCTATTAGCTTATTAATTTACTGGAAATTCCCATTTCGGTAAATTTGCTTGATTAAAATCCTCTAAATTGTCCAAAAGTAAAATACGTCTAACCGTTTTCAGAAATATCTAAAAACAAATTCATGTTCGCAGACAAACAGAACGAGAATTGGCTTGCACAACCATCTAAGCAGCCCGTGGAAAGTTGACGCATTCTACGAAGTCACAGAATTATTCGATAAAAGTTGCACATTACGTGCACAACCCAAGTCATACATAGCATACTTGAAAACA